TTTCACCGTGTTAGCCAGGATGGTCTTGATCTCCTGACCTAGTGATCCGCCCATCTCGGCCTCCCAAAGTGCTGGGATTACAGGCTTGAGCCACCGCGCCGGCAAACAATTAGATTTTTAAACAATGATTGTAAGTCTGTAGTATTGTATTTATATATCTAAGTTATCAGTGCTTAAGACCGCACTAAGACTTTGGAGGCACCTTATGCATGTTCAAGTCCTGGGTTTCTTTTAGATAGTTCAATTGGCTGTTGGAACCATGAGCCTTCCTATTTAGAAATTTCAGGACCCAAAGGAACTCTGGACAAGTAAAATGCAAGTGCAGAAAGGAACAGAGTTCTCTACGGTAAGGCCATGTAGGAGGAACTTTTAGATAAAGGGGAAGGCTAAAAATCATTTACAACAACAAAACAAAAATGTTTGCTGTTAAGAAAGGAAACAGATAAACAAAAACGAACCCCTTTGAGTCACCTAGACCACGAGGTTTGAACTACCTCCTAAAGAGTGTTACTATTAACTTCTAAAGTGCTTTTAGAAATGCTAATTAATTATCATGGGAAATTATTCAAATTAATATGTGTAATTTTAAAAGACCTACAAGGGGCCATTTCTTTTTCTTAACCCAAAGAGCTTCAAACAGCTTTTCTATCATAATTAAAGGACTAGCAGACTGATGAGGCCAAGGGATCGCCTTCCTAAAACCAAGTCTGCGGGATAAGTGGCCATTAGAATCAGGTCTTTCCAAAGACTTCTACCCATCTCCCTGCAAGAGCTAAAGTGCTAATGCACCTCCACCCCCGGGGCTCATTTTCAATGCTCTGAGTGAAACCCCGGTCCCCACTGGCTAAGATTACTTAGGCACTGAATGAGCCCCGCAGTATGTAGCCGAGATGCCGATGTCCAGCTCCCGCCGGGCGCGCTCAATCACGCGCAGCATCTTGAGCTCGGTCTCCAGGTCGAGGCCATATCCGCTCTTGCACTCCACCAGCGTGGTGCCAGCCCTCATCATGCACTGGAGACGCTGCTGAAAGGAGCGGAACAGCTCCTCCTCTGAGGCTTGGCGCGTGCGCTCCACGGTGAAGTGGATCCCTCCTCCGGCCTGGTGAATTTCCATGTACGTGGCCCCTGCCAACTGAACACACGCCTCACCTTTAGGCCGGCAAATGCGAAGAAGTTGCAGGGAGGTCTGAAGAATCTACCTCCAGGGGCAATATTATGTAATGACTAAGAAGCCATATGGCACAGGCACCAATCCATCGGATTAGAAAAGTGCTGGGATACACAGTCCTGGAAGCCCCTAGTCTGCCAGACACTGGATTGTGGGGAGCCCCAAAGGGGTCTGGGGAAGACACTGGAGTGGTAGAGATGCGAGATGTGGTGGGTGGCCTGTTGGGATCTCAGGGCAGTGGCAATTAAAAACTGGCACAGGCCGGGCACGGTGGCTCACACTTGTAATCCCAGCACTTTGGGAGGCCGGGGTGGGCAGATCAGAGGTCAGGAGTTCAAGACCAGCCTGACCAACATGGTGAAACCCCGTCTCTACTAAAAATACAAAAATTAGCTGATTGTGGTGGTGAGCACCTGTAGCCCCTGCTACTCGGGAGGCTGAGACAGGAGAATCACTTGAACCCGGAAGGTGGAGGTTGCAGGGAGTGGAGTTCGGGTCACTGCACTCCAGCCTGGGTGACAGAGCGAGACCCTGTCTCAAAAAAACAAACCAAAACAAAAACAAAACAAACAACAACAACAAAAATAACCTGGCACAGGAGTATTGCAATATTTTAACAAGTCAATCAGCCCACAATGTGTACTTGCTAAGTATCAGCCCTCCCTCCATCCCTCAGCTTGTTTGAGAAAACAAAGCTTAGGCAATTCAGGAGTTGCAGGGAACCCCATTGCAATTATTCAGATCTCCACTAAAGCGGCCCCGGGAAGTCTCCTTGTCTCAATATTTGGCCATCAGAGTTTGGAGCTTGACCTTTGTCACTCAAAGAGGCTCTTTCTGGGGTCCCACTGGGCTCCAGTTGCTCTGGACAGCAAGGAGTATGGTGCAGAGAAAGGATGCAGGCCTGGGGTCTCCTGGCCAGAGTTTTCATCTGGGTTCTGCCATCCTCCATCTGGTGGCCCTAGTCAACACTCTTCCCTTCTCTAGACCCAGCTGTCTCTATCTGCACAATGAGAGGACTGGACTGTAAATCTCTTTCTCCATCTGTACAATGAGGATTGGACTGCTTTTGGCTCTGAAATTCTGTGATTTAACAAAACAGTCTTAAAAACAGCTCTAGTTTGTTGAAGAAGGTACATGATATCTGAAGAAAAGAATTTTTTTTTTCTTTTCCTGAAATAAGCCAGTTTCGCTGCCAGGAGGCACATTTTTTTTTTTTTTCATTCTTTTTTTAAAACACATGTGAAAATTGCTCCAACCAGGGATTTAGAAGTTGGCTACAGCTGATATATGACTAACGCAGATTACATTTTGTGATTCTTAATAAGTCTCAGTTTTCTGAAAAAGAGAAAAATATAAGACATTTTATTTTTGTGATTAGTAACATATTTTTCCAAGCTTTACTCCAATGAATGGCGATTTTCAAACTATTCCTTGGAGCCCTTTCAAAGGCTACTAGAGATAGTGATTTGGAAGGGGAATGTGTGGAAGGAAAGAGAGGGAGACATTAGTGGGCAGGAAGAGCCCTGTGTATAATACAATGATATGGGGCAGATATAAATAAGTTTTGTTGTCATTTGTTTCCCATGCCCGAGCAAGTAAAAATATCCATTAAAAATATGTTGACATATGTTGCAAAGCTTGATAGCCTGCTAACTCTTCAGCAAAAGACTTCATATGTGTGCTTTATTTTGATTTGCCATGATTTGTTGCAGTTACCTTCATTGCAAATTCGTGAACTCTTTCACCAGCCCATACTGGATGTGTGTGCGCATCCACCAAACCTGTAATCAATAAATCAAGTTATCTTACAATTAAGAAATAGAGAACACTTAGACAGCAGGCAAACAGCAGCACTACACCCTGCTGCTCTGGGGAAGGCGTGATGGTAGCCATCCATTTTGAAGGAACATGAAAGGAAGAATTTGTCTGTCTGGTTCCCCTGACAGAGAGAAAAGAAGACTGCCCTGTGGTGTGGCTGGCCTAGAAAGCTTTAATGAAGGAGGGGATGCAACACGATGAAAATATCCCTTACAGAAACACAGCTCCTTTTGCTCAGTAAGTCCATGCTCACCAAATAAGCTTTCGTTTTATTTTATTTTATTATTTATCTATGTATTTATTTATTTTTGAGAAAGGTTCTCACTCTCACCCAGGCTGGAGTGCAGTGGCACACTCATGGCTCCCTACAGCCTTGACCTCCCAGGCTCAAGCAGTCCTCCCACCTCAGCCTCCCTAGTAGCTGGGACTATAGACGTGCACCACCA